ACAGCAGTACATCAAACATTTGAACTGATACTTCAGTGCTATACCATCATAACGCCACACGGAACGAAGATTGCTAATAACAATAATAATAATAATAATAATGAGGGGACTTACCGGAAAACCTTAATGTTATTAACAAACATTCAGGGTCAAGGCGCCTACACCATGTCGAAAACATGCTATCACAAAAAGCTGGTTATTGTACAGACATAAAGCGGCATCAACAACACAGCTTCCTTGTGGCTTTCACTGCCCCGCGTCATAATCAGCCATTACCCCACAGATAACTCAGCACCAAACACACTTTAAACTGACAGTCCGATTAGGTGCCGGCGGCAGACGCGCCACTAGTGCTGATTGCGGGCCATCTCCTACGCACATTATCGTTGCGGACGCGCTGGTGCCACCTGACACCAGAAATACTCCGCAGACAGCAGTGATCAAAGACTTGAAGGCGCCTCAGCTCTTCAGACCGTAGGAGCCAAGTCTCACTGCCATGGCGTAGGATGGCCCTCACTGTGGCCTCGTAAACACGACCTTTCAAACGGATGAAACCCCTATCTATGGTCACAGATGTCGCAGATTCCAAAAGCAGTTCTACCTTTGGCAATACATGAACTGACTTCAGTATCTACCCACACATCAATGCTGATACAGCTGCCAAGGTAAGTGTATTGATCAACTACATCGAGTCCCTCGCTACCTAGGGTTCATGGGTCATTAAATGGTTGGTGGTCCTGTAGCAACACTGCATTTTGAAGGCGCGAAGCACACGTAATAATTGGACCACTCTAGAGGTTTACTTAGGCCGCCCCAACATCAATAAACAACGAGACAATATCGTCGTCGTAATCAACCCCAACTAGCCTTTCACCAGGCAGTGCCTCAACGCCTGCATCATGAGGCTCCACAAGGGAACACTTCAAGATGCAGTCCACGTCTAAATTGGACTGAAATGGAGAAATCGGACAACCCTAATAAACTCTACTTTTTATCGGAAAGCTATCCGGCAGGTCACCGTAGACCCAGACGCGGTCCGTAGTGTGAGTACAGAGCACGTGAAATGTTCACATATTTCATGGGAAAAACATTTCCCCGCAAATATTCCGAACGGAATGGATTGATCGACTTAATCGAACGCACTCTTGAAATCGAGGAACACAGCTATTTTCGGTCTGTGGTATGCAGCAGAGTGAATATAAGGTCTATACAGCCATGGTCCTGGTCGGGAACCCGCCAGCTCTTCCCTAATCCGAGCTTCCCGTTCCGCAGTGAGGCGACGAATGAGAACAGAGGCCAGTAATTTTATCACTACGGGCTCTAGTTGGCACAGTCGGTGCGATTGTGCTATGATAGATTCACTCCAGTTAGCCTAGACGGTATCCTTCCACGTTGGAACAGGGAGGTCAGTGCTTTGCAGAGGACCTCACCTCCATTCTTAAGTAGTGGAGGTGGCAACTAATCCGGGCCAGCGGCACGAAAACGATTAAGGGTGTGATCGCGTTTCGGATCTCAGCCGCAAACAGATACTCCATGGCTCATCCTGCATCACCTGAGTAGGAACCGATCCAGAAGCAGGGGCCAACTGAACTGATCTTGAAAGTGATCCGCCCAACGAGTCATACGGCATCAGCGCACCCGTGCTGTCTGATTGTTTCACTGACGCCTGGTTTCCTGAGACCAGTGGTGCGGATCGGCTGGAAGAGCTTGCGGTAATTACATACGGCTCGTGCCGCCTAGATTTCTTGAGCTCGACTAGTCCACCAGGCTTACTTGTCAGCGCGCAGTTCATCAGTGGATAATTTTCCAACTTCAGCGTTCAGCTCCCCAGCCAGCACAACAGCGTCCGAGCTTCTTCTGTAGCAAAGCAGCTCGTTCAATTGACGATAGAAGTCGTCTTTTACCGAAGTATCGCTGGAGTTTGTGGGCGCGTAGGCAGCGATGATGTATAGACACCTATTAGTCCCGCGCGACTTCGAAGCTTTGAACGAGTCAGCCAATCGGACTGCACACATCCGGCTACTGACTGGGATCCAGTCAACCAGAGCAGCTTCAGCCCGGGGACTTAGGGCAATGCCAGCACCAACTTGGCCGGTGCTCGAAGCTGCATCGTCACCTGATATGCGCAATGAGAAAATGCTGCTTGTGTCACCCGAAGGGGATCGCAGAGTGAGCACAGAGCTCGAGTCATGTTGGTGGGGTCTCCGATAAGCAGCAGATATCGATTGTGTCTAATGTCCGGGCAAGTGCTGCCTGTTGACCGATCTGTAGTAATGTGCGTACATTGAGGCATGCCAATCTGAAGGAGGATCGAGGGTTCCAATTAGAAGCCGATGAACTGGAGTGGATCGCTTGGTTGGACATGGACTTGTCGACAGGACAGGAGGGCTGAAAACTGGAGGGATAAAAGGGAAGTTGGAACGGAACGATAAGGTTGAAAAAGCTTATGAGGGGGAATAAGAAGACGGGAAGGCTTGAGCAGTAGCATCCAAACCGCTATCTACCCTGCTCGATGCAGCAGATAGGACGCCGTTTGTTATCATCTCCGACGGCCAGTACATCAGGAAACTTCGGAGCCCAGTGTGTCTGCAACCAGGGTTGCTAAGAAACAGCTGGTGCTCCGCAAACAGTTACAAAAGACGCTCGCTGTTGTCCGTGTGGTCGGAGTTAAGCCCATAATTACCACCTGGCTGAACTTTTGAAGAGCCCAGTCGACCTGCTTGCGCATTCAAATCCCCTGAACCTATTATGATATCTGAACTGGTAGCACTGCGTCCTAGCAGATTAACTTCGTGGTGGAAGGTATCCTTGGCAGCGTCAGAACTGCAGGGGGAAACCACAAACAAACAGCGTCTTGTACTACTGCGTGACTCGGCCTTAGTTGATGTTGTCAAACGGACTGCACACAAACAGCTGTCCACCGGAATCCAATAAATTCATGATGACTCGGCCTTGCTTCGGGTTGCTATTGGATATGGGGTGTGGATGGGGCTGTGAATGGTGCATCACAAGCCACCGATGGCCCCTTGAAATGCACAGGCGTCCTGTGACCGTCCTAATGGAGACCACAGTGACAGGCAAATCCAGAACCGGATGCCGCCAATCATGTTACGTAATTGTTACAACAGGTGAGTTTGCACTAGTTTAACCAAAGGCCATTTAGCCTGAGGGAGGTAGGTAATAGCGAACCATTGAGCATCGAGCGGGACAACTTCACCGTCGGATACAATGCGTGGCGCTCGTGCTCTATTCCAATCGAGCTGTGAGCTTATAACCCGTAAGCATGTTGTCTCCCACTGCCCTTTTTAGGGAAGGGGGTCTTCGACATCCCTTACCTTCGAGGAGGATTGTATGACTAAGTTAGTCTGACTCCTAACGATCGACCTGTCTGGTACGAGTGGTTCTGAAGGCACTTGGAAAGTGCCACCCAGCTTAGGTCAGGGGCTCATGTAGGTACGCAAACTATCTTCACACCTAGGGTCCAGTCCCGTCGCGATGGATTACAGTCTCCTCGAGATGGTTTGGGATAGATTGAAAGTAGAGAGGGCAAGACTAGAGATAACATCGTTAAGATTAATGCGGACTGTTAATGGATCCCTATTCCAGGTTTAGGGTCCCAAGGACAATAAACACATTTGGTTGGAGACACTTGTAGAATTGGCGTTTGGGTTGTGAGCTACTTTTACCTCCTCCGCCCTTTACGATCTCATCACTGATGCAAAATAGAAACAAAACATAATATTTTTGTTTTGTTTTTTTGGACCTCCTTTTTGCAGCTGCCTATTTTGATTGTATTGCGTCACAATGACTGAGATGTTTCCCAACTCTAGTGTGAAATGATGCGACTGATTTCCCTTCTGCCCGCCTGCAATTCCTTGCACGGCAGCGAAGCATAAGTATGAAGTACTCTTGTACCGTTGGTATGTTGTGCTTATGCGACGCTGTTTGCTCGCGAGATGTGTCCCACTCAATCATAAACTTATCCAAACACCATCTCCTATCCGCTATTCTTCATCGATTCTAAGCCACCATAACGTTAGTTCCAATCTCTTGGAATCTGTCGTTCTCCCTCGCCCCTTATTCACTGTCTTCTTTTGATGGTTCACCGACATTTTACCAACCAGCCTAACGTTGTTTTATCTCTCTCTATAACCCTTATTTTTGCAGTCCGTGGCAGTTATTTTAGCAACTTTGGGTGGAGCGATCACGTGTGCAATCCTCTTCCGCCCGATCAACAAGATGGCCAGCAATTTGATGATACCCTATGCTCTGTGGCTCAGTTATGCAAGTGCTGTGAACATTTCAACAGCCCTCAACAATTAAGTCAACCGACTGCTGTGTCATTTCAGTGATCTCGCATGCTTCTGTCACTCAGGATTCTGCTCTCGTCAATCATTCACGAATTGGTTTTAATATATTTTAATTCTATATATTATCGCCTGTCTTTTCGTCATCGACCGGTTATCCATGGCGCTGCTTCCTCTTTCACGCGACATACGTTAGCTCCTGTCTCGAGAGTTTAAGGCCTGGTCATTTTTAGTTGCTTTATCGAGTTTGCGAATCAATCGTCATACCTAGTTTCACTTGAATATATAGTATATTCCCGGGTTCACGAAACATGTCCTTTTTGGTACGGTTAATCTCTCACAATTGTTTCCATACTCCAAATGTTAGGCGGAAATAAAATCATACATTTGCCATGGATAGCGTCCTGACGCAAAACACTGTGTACAAACGGAACCCATTTTTCTTTTGCTTTGGTGTGGGCTGATATGTGTGGTGATAAGAGAAACATAAAAGCTGCAATTTCAGAGTATAGAATATAGCACACAACTTAAGCAAAACTAATTTCTCTGGGTTTTGACGTCCCAAAAAAGGGCTAGTGACAGTTGGAGACACTCAGTTACTTTCAGATCAGCAGCTGTACATGTGAGCCGTAACAAACAGAGGGAAGAATGATTTGCTGTGTGTGAGGCGAAGGTGGTTGGCTTTATTCAACCGGCTTGTATGTATGTATTGTCAACAGTTTAAGGAAAAGATATAGAGCCAATCAAACTATGGAAATCACTAGAGGAGGACAAGTTTGTTCATCATCATGCCGCGTTAGCTAAAACTATGCAACATACTTCAGGTATTGTGCCATAATGGGAGCGGAACTGTTTTGTTATTTTCTCACGTACCATTTTTCTTTTTTTGTCGTTTTCAATTGTTGATCATTAGACATCTGAATCTAAACATGTACACAAATCTTCCACTGATTTCGACTATGTGCCATCTCCTGCATTGTCTCTAGCCCTCGACACTCCTCGTCTTTGATCACCAACCAGGCAGGCGTGTGGATCCAACTGCAGCACGATGTGTAGTCAACGATATAATATGCTCATGCCAGGTAGACGGCTGATCAGCACGCGTTCTATTCCAGCCAAGCCCTGCAGGAGCGAAAAGGCCGCAATAAGGCAACCACTCAGCTGACATACGCAAAACGTGACGTAGCCATCTTAGCTGACGCAGCAGAACCAGCTTGTTGTGTGGCATACTCGCATCCCCCAAGACACTACGTCGGACTACATCATTACTGCTACCACGCATGAGCAATCCTCCTCAAGAACCCATTGTCAAAAGCTGGGAGCCGGCGCATGTCATCCACGCGAATTAGCACCGATCCACTTCCATATAGCAACACCGCCCGAACGATGACACTGTACACGTGACAGTTTACCAACAGGGAGACATTCAGACAATGCCACAAGTGCTTCAGATTGAAAAACGCTGACCTAGCTTTGGCGATGCAGAGTGAAATTTTCTTCTCAATAGAGCCACTAGCAGAAACGCAGCTGCCCAGGTAGACAAAACTATCCACTTGCTCAAGCTGTGTATCTTCAAGAGTGAGCACGGAAAAGGTGAGTGCCAATTCTGGAGCAGCACCTTACACTTCGATGGGGTGAAGCACAGACCGAACTTAGATGCCTCAATCACCAAACGGTTTAGTACGGTTTGTATGCTCTGTGAATCATCACCAAGTAAGGCGATGTCATCGTCAGGCGTTCGCTTGCTCGGCAGTAGTTGCAGTCCAAACTTTTGACAACATTCCAAAGCTTTCGACCGAACGTCTTCAGTCGCAAAATTGTATAGAAAAGTGGATATAGGGCACCCTTGTTGTACACTGCTATTGACGGCGAATGATGACGAAAGCTTGCTATGCACTCTCAGTTTGCCGGAGATGTGGAGGTAGAGTGCGCGTAGGATGACAGTGTATTTTCCTGGGACGCCGTTCCTTAGCAACCAACGCCACAGTGCAGGCCGATCAACTGAATTGAACGCAGCACGAATATTTAAGTATGCAACAATGGTAAGCCTCTGGTAAACGTGGCAGTGTCCGAGGATTTGGCGGAGCGTGAATATTTGATCCACGTACCCATGACCGGGACGGAAGCCAGTTTGTTCTTCGCATTACGATTCACGAAAGGGGAAGTCTTCGGAGTAGAATGGATACCCAAAGCTTGGAAGCAAACGAAATGAGAATAATCCCCCGTTGATTGATGCATGAATTGCGAGCACCCTTCTTAAAAATCTGGACACACTGCGCGATCATAGCTCTCCGGGAGCAGACAACATCCGTCTGAAGGCACTGAAGATTGCGGCCAACAAGCTAGCTGAACCACTGTCACAATTCTTCCAAAGGGGCTTTGATGAACAACAAGTCCCCACAATTTGGAAGCATGGCATTATCACCCCAGTTTTTAAAGGCGGTATCTGTTCAGCTCCTGCAAACTATCGGCCAGTGACTCTCCTCTCTGTGCTTGCAAATGTGATGGAAGCGGTCCTCGCTGAGTCTTTAATGGACTACCTGGAAAACTGCGACAACTTGACACCGGGACAGCATGGATCCCGTCAACACCGGTTATGCACCAACAACCTACTGATTGCACGAGGTAGTTGGACGGAAATGGCTGATGATGGGGTCGGCGTTGAAATCATTTATCTGGACTTCTACAAAGCTTTCAACCGCCTTGGATCACCGCATCATTATGCATCGGCTACAGAGCTGCGGAATCAGAGATCCTATGCTTGGTTTGATTGGCAACTTTCTTCACCAACAGAAGCTCAAGTACGCATTAGGGGATCACTCTCTAACCCAATTTAGAATGTGGCGTTCCACAAGGCTCAGTGCTGGGACCGCGCTTATTTCTGGTGTTTATCAGCGGTCCGTCAAGAGTTATCTCAATTCCCTGCCTTTTGCCGATGACATCAAGATATGGTGGGCGATTAGTAACAATAAACATCACGATCTATTCCAACATGAACTAGATTGCATTTATGAATGGTCAGTAAAGAATATGCTTCAGTTGAATATACCTAAGTGCAAGGTGATCCATCTGCTTCAGCAGCCCGTAAGCGCTTACAAGCTTAACAGCCACACTTTGCAGAAGGCGTCTCAGGAGCGTGACCTGGGTGTATTGGTACAGGAAGATCTCGGGTGTACAAAACAAGCAGAGAAGGCGACGAGGACCGACAATCAACACTTCGGCTTGCTTCGCACAACCTTCGGTCGGTTTGAACCCTAAACCTTTCCCCAACTGATTAACGCCTACGTGCGACCGCATGTGGAATATGCTATTCAGTCGTGGCAGAAACAGGATCTCGTTGCTCTCGAGACTCTTCAACGAAGAGCAACCAAGAGCGTCATTGGCCTCTTTCATCTGCTCTATCTGCTTAGACTGAAATCTCTAAGAATGTACAGCAGTCGATATCGGGTTTTGCGAGGGGATCTCATAATGGTTTACCAGATTCTGAAGAACCCAAACCACATTTCCCGTCCGCTGCTGGAATTGAACCACAACACTAACCTAAGAGGTCATTTCCTGAAAATGACAATACAATCACAGTAGCTGAGGTGTTCCCCACCTCCAGCTAACGTGTAGTATGATGATGATGATGGCTTGAATGCCGTAGAAATTTCTTTTCCCTCCGCATGTGCCAGCCTTGGAACGCCCACCGTAATTATGTCGTCTATGCTTCCAATCTAGCGATATTAAAAAAACAAGTTGCGGATGCGTTGTCTCACTTGCATTTCATTTTATGAATTGTTAGCCAGGCGCTACAAAACGCACTCAAACGGCACCTTACCAAACTCCCAACCAATAGGTTTATGGATTTATACTTTTAATACGCGAACATCTCCGCTATTCTACATAATTCTATAGTGAGTCCACCAAAACACTTTTCACTTTATCATGCAATTTACTTTTTGTAATACTTTTCATCCCACGGGACTCGTTAAGCATTGCTTTTTTTACCCGTAGAACGCCATTGTTCCATAGCGAGCCTGTGCATTTTGCATCGGTTGACATAGGGGCGTGAAATAGCATAAGGTTGCAACGCCACTGATCGTTGACAGTTGCACTCTCTTTCTTCCTTCCTTACACTTTACACTAACTTTCATCACTCACATTATCGCATGAAGGAACGATAGTGTTTTTAGGACGCAACAAAGACACACCAACTGAGCCTCCAGAAACGGATGGACATTGCTTCGGAGGACTAGCAGCAGGCCGATAAGTGGGCACGTTCCGACCTAAGAGTTGCTCGGTTTCCTTTGGATGGGATGGACCAACGGAGCTCTTCTCTATGGAACGTTTCGCCCGTTTTGCTTGCTCCAGAGTTTTCTCGACTACAGATGATCGGACTTCAGCCTGACAATTTTTACACCATATTTGGACAAAATCATGCTGGATGCCACACAGTAGTTTAAATTGGTCAACGGATTAACCGATGCAGAAATATGGAAATTCACGCTACACAAGCTGCATGTAATCGCGGTTGCGCAATGACCAACCACAGTACCACAACGAGTCTACTTTGCCATTTCAAAAATAGGTACCGATCGATTTGACTGAATCCGGGTAATAGTGAGTCGCAAGACTTAGAATAAAATAACGCGTATTTATGATAATATAGTTCGAAATCACTATTACTATCGAATTACACAAAAATACTGAGATAAAACGACTTTAACGATGTACAGAACTAGGTAAATTGGCCTGAGGATGATACGAACAAAACGCGACCCTGACAGCTCATGACTTCGAATGATCTGGGCTTGTGATGCCAAAATACTTTGACGTGCTTGTAAGTAAAGGGACAAAAGGGGCCGACGCAACTTGCTACTGATACACGAATTGGAAGGTGACCGCCCGTGTTTGAGCCCACAAATGTCATGTGCAGCCTGTGGCCGCCGTACTACCGCCTCGGCGCTGCACCGAATATGAAGCGGGCTAATGAGATAGCACCCGGTTCTCCTTGGCTGGTCTGTAAGCTATCGCATGCGGCAGGAAATTAACTGTCGGTGCAG